TGAGTGTAGCTAGAGATTGGAAAACTTGAAATCTGATCATTTCCTTTGTGTTACCTACCATAAACAGTCTGGGAGGTAGAGGGAGGCAGAGGAGACTAGAGAGGAATGGCAGCATCTTTATGTTACCATGGAGACCTTGTAAAAGAATCACCAGTTAGGAGAAGGACCAAAAAAGGGAAATGTTTTTTATAGGCTATTCCCACAGGAGGTTGAATCAAGAACATCAGCTCCCACCCTATCATCCCCACAACCCTTTGGTGGTATTTTACTTGGAAATACACATCAGTCCTCTTAGAGGTCAGAATTTTGTGTCAAGCTTTAAATGTCACAAACAATCCCAACCAGCACATCATTATTTAGGTCTACTTGTTATCTAGGTACAGCATGGTACCAAAACAAGAAATACCTTGAAGAAACAGCTAAGAAACTGGAAAAAGCTAAGACTGAAAGTACTTCGTCTTTAAACCATCTTCCACATGAGCTACTACTAAAGCAGCCTTCTGAAAACAGACTTAAAATATCCTAACTAAAAAGAGATACCTCTGCTCCTACAGAAAACAAAGTTTTAGAAATGAATGTGGATCCTATTTGTATGAGTTAAAAATCCACTTCCAGAGAAATACAGGCCAAGAATATTCATGAGGACTTTGTGATACTGGACCTTTATTTTAAAAATAACACTCTTGTCCTTCCAATCAACTTGATCTTAGTTTTGTGTTTTTTAAGGTCCATGATTCCCCCCCTCCCCACCCCCGGACTTCCTAGGAGCTTTGAGAGAGTACAGTTGCAGCTCAGGAAGATCCCAGGCTCACCTGAGAATGCTATGCATGAATGCCTGCTGGACAGGCTGGAGAAGGGCACACTAACCTATGGGCAGTGGCTTTAACTTTCCCTGCAAATAATTCCCAGCACTTTATGGAAGGGGAGCACATGGTAGATGAGGACATGTAAGAGGCACATGGAGACTGTGAGGAAATCTGTGAGAGGGAGATCAAGAACGCTTCAGTCACTGTCCATGGAGCTCCTACTGGAGTGAGAGAGAATCAAACAGACTGAGAAAAGTGAACAACCATCACCCCAGTTCTGGCAGCTCTCCAGGTCGCTTTTGCTTACCTCTGATCTTACTTTGAAACTGTGTGGGATGTGTTACAACAAAAGTGTCTCTCTCATAGCAATCTCTACACAATGGAGGACACATTCAGATGGCAGAATCCTACAGAGCTAGTACTACAGAGAACCTTAGGCTGGGATTCAGAAAGGCTAAGTGATCTATCTAAGGTCACACAGATGGTAGCAGTGTCTAGATTGGGAGCAGGAGCCAATTAGAACTGCTTAACATAAATATGCCTAACTTTGTCCTTATCGATGGTTTGTTATGTTTTCACTTTGGTGGTACTAGGGATTAAACACAGGACCTCACATATGTTCAATGAGTGCTCTATCAAACAGCACATTGTCAGCCCTTATTAGTACAGTTTAATACAATAAAGGTCCTTAGGCCTCGGCACAATGGCTTTATCACTATATCTTTCCTTAAAATCAGATCATTCAGGAATATGACTGAGTATACATTATTTGAAGATCATTTACCAACTGCCCATGTATCAGGATTGAAAATGAATCTGTTCCTGATACATCTTACTATAAGGGCAAATTTTAAGTAACATTATCTGTATGTATAGTATATTACTTGAAACATGATAATAAACTATATCAAAATAAGCAGCCCATACAATAAAGATGGTAAGTAAGGAATGCACTGCATGGCATGGTGGCATACCACTGTAAGCCCAGCACTCTGAGCAGCCAAGATAAGAGGATCATAAGTTTGAGCCCAGCCTGAGCAACTGAACAACTTAAGAGACCCTATCTCAAAATTTTAAAAATTGTGGCGGGGGAGGAGGGATCCTGGAGATGTAGCTCAGTGTGAAAATCCCCAGTACTACAATAAAGAAAAAAAAAGACGACTGCAAAAACATAAAATTTACATGGAAACTTCAGACATTCTTTTTTTTCCCCTTTTTATTTATTAGTATATGTTTACAACACATAACAAATACGTTCGTCATGGGAAATTGGTACATACACATATCGTATCTTGAGCTATTCTGAGTTACAAAGAATGATTTCAAAGAATGAGAAAACTGAATTACCACTATTGTATACCTGATATTAGCCAAACATCTTTGCCTATAAAATCTTGTCTTTAGTATTTATAAGAACTGAGAGAAACACATACACAAACAAGGTTTCAAAAAAAAAAAAAAACTTGCAGTATAAGCAGCTACAAATAGTATTCTCTGTGGTAAGAAATAAAGTCCACACATAAGTATCCTAGCAAAATTTTCACCACACACACACATGCCTAACAGATGGATTCTAAAAAACAGCTAAGCATTGCACAAACCAAATGCTCCAAATTTAATAAAAGATGATTAACATTCCTGTATGTTACACTGCATAAATGTGAACAGCAGCAACAATTTGGGGCAGAAAACCCCTCTGTGCCCTCACACTATCTCAGTCAGCCACACATCCTACTACCTCCCCCTACTCTGCAACCAAATCACAACCCCAAACCAAGGTGTCTCTTGCAGCCCAAAGAAACACTTGACTGGTAATATCCGGTTGGCCATTCCAGGAAATCCCAGAGAGGTTTTTATAAGCCTCTGCCCACAGCTTGTCAAGAAATGCAAGAGAAGAACGAACCAATACCAGCATCCCAGCTGTGACCTGGCACATAAAGAAATCAAGAAAATAAATCCCATCCATAATCTGTCTAATTTAACACCTGGAATGAAGTAACGCTTGACACCAGCTGGGCAGCAGGGTCTCGCTGGATGGGCACTGCCCAGGGTGGTAAGGCGTTAGGAAGCCATGCCCTTGTCCTCACTGGCTAAGCAGAAGCCAAGTCTTTCCCTAGCAAGGGTTAATGTAGCCCCCAAAAATAGAAGAATCAGAAGCGGAACTCTTTCCCGCTGGGCAAAGGCTTCTTTTACACTTTGAAGAGATGGAAAACTGGAAACCCTTCCCAAAGATGGGTCAGGACCCACTATTGTCTCACTAACCAGTCACAGGCCAGAACGGAAGCTAATGTCAAACATGGGATGACACTGTTTAATCACAGTCCTTTCAATAGACTCCAAAGTCCCATATCCAGGAGAAGTTGGGAAAAAAAAAAATTCCCTGGGACTATGACCACCTGGAAAAGCTTCCCCATTTTTTTTTTTTTTAAATCGCAAGAAAATGAACTAACATAAACCGCTATCTCCACACCGTCTAAATCACTAGCTCTGTCCCCACTAAAAACAAGTGCGCCAGTCAGCAGGACAGGACATTATAGGAAATAAAGCTTGTTAGTAAAATCCGTAATGCTTTCTCTCTGTTAGATCTTCTGGGAGGTTATAATTGCATCTGGCCGCTTTAGGCTTGTCAGAGATCCTGGCTTCCTAACAATCTTAACCCTAAAAGGAGTAACTGTCAAGGGGCAACCCAGCTGAAAGCAAACAACAAAAAAACAGGAACTGTAATCCGCCTGAAAAGGGAGGAGAGAAAGGAAGGAGAATCCTGTATTCATCACTCAACATTAATGTCCTTTGTTGTTCACCTTTGCACAACAGCAAGCGCTATCCTGTTCGTCTTTCTCCAAACACAAGAGTCAGGGCGCTGGGTTCCAGAGGCCGCCTCCGGCTGAAGACCCGAGCTTCCCGGCCCCTCTTCCAGACTCGCCCGGCCGTCCTACACCTCCGCCCCCGCAGCGCTCACCCCGGTCGCGAGGGTGGCCAGAAGTAAAAACACTGCTGAAATATCGGTTCCCTTCCAAAAACCAAAGAGCAGAGCCGCACAGATGTTGAAATGTACCAAGTCCCTACCCCCCGCACACCCCCAGACACCCGGGAAGCCAGGGAGGAGGACGGCTGGAGCCCGGCCCGCCCGTGCGAGGGGCTCAGCACTCGGAGAAGGACCCCGGCCGGCCAGTAGGATTCTGCGCCCCTCAAAGGTTGGGTGTACCGTAGCCGCCAGATTGTGGTCTCCCTCACCACCCTGGGGACCACTGCCATCGCCCCGCCGCTCTGGGCAAGCAGGGGATGGAGGGAGAGGAGCCGCTCGCCTCCGCTTCCAACTTGACACGGCACTCGCCGCCGCCGCTTCAAACTCCTTCGGCAGACCCCGGAGGGGCTGGGACCGGGCGCGCAAAGGGGCGGCGGGGGGCGAGGGCCGGGTGCAGCCCCGACCGCCGGGCCGTTCCCACCGCGCAAGCCGAGGGGCGCGGGGGCCGGGACGCGAGACGCGCACCACCCGGCCAGTGCAGATAAAAGTTCTCCCGGCCGAGACTCACCCACGCCGTATTTCTCGTGCTCCGTAGGAATCCACATGGCTAGCGGGGACGCCGGGGTCTCTGGGCTTTGTAGCCCCGCGCCCCTCCACAGGCTGGCAACAATGCGCGGCTCCCGGGGAGCGGCTGCAGCGCCCGAGCCCCAAGGCTCCGCGCGGGTGGCGGGCGTTCGGCGGGGTCCGCGCAGGAGGCTCGCGAACCGGGCGGTGACACCGCGCCACCGAGGCTGCGCCGCTCTCCCGGCGGCGGCTGCTCACAGTCCTCCGACGCGTACCCGGGGACCCGGCGGCGCAGTCATTGTTCTGATTCACTGAACTAAGCGAACACGCCGGGCACTCTCGGGCGCACCCCCGCCCGTCAGCGCCTCTGCCAGCTCTGCCTTCCCACAAACCCGCGGAAAGCTGGGAATCGTAGTTCTCCGCCTCTCCTTAAGCGCGCGTGGAGAGAGAATGACAGAGGCGGGGTCAGGCTGCGTTTGCCGCATCCTATTGGTCTAAAGCGTGACGGCACGGCGTAGGCGTGAAAGAACCGCCCTATCGGGGAGGAGCTAACCTCTAATCACGTTTCTATTGGTCCGGACCCGTGTATGCCCCGCCCCTCCCCGCTAGCCTCACTTTTTTGCTCGGCGGAGTTATGGCTGCTCCCAGGACCCAGGGGGTTGCTGCCGGGATGGAGGAAGAGAGAGACAAAAGCCTTAGCGGGGTCGAGGGTATTGCCTATGAAGGTGAGTACAGGTCAGCAGAGGTGTGGGTCATTAGACTTACTTTCTCCTTGACCCGAGTGCAATTTACCGCCAATCTGACCCTGGGAGCCCTTGGCTTGGAGGCCACCTGGGCGCGTGGGAGTGGCGGGCGAGAAGAGGCCGGCGGTCCCGCGAGGCGGAGAGTGGGGTGGGGCGGCCTTCCCCGCGCCGGGCAGCTCCCTGGCATTTGTCTTTCCCTTTGGAGCACCCCGCTTTGCGTGTGGTGTGGTAACGACTGGGATTACCGTGTCTTATTTATTTTTTTTCTCCTCTTCCTTCCCGTGTCTCCGTCTCTTTGCTGAGTTTGTGCTCAGACGTGTGTGTTGTGTGGTTCGGGACGGATTTGCAGTCGCAGATTGGGCGCTGCACTCCACCATGTATTTGTCTTTTGCTGGACGGAGAGGTTTCCAGTGGGAAAGTGTGCGTGCGCCTCACAACCCCCGCGTGGCCGGTTGACTGACCTGTGCGTTCTCCAGAGCTGAATGTAAAGTCTGGTGGATCGTAGGCCCTGGGTTCTAGGTAAAGTGATAATTTGTACTCCTGAGTTCAGAGGACATTTAAAGAGAGTTAGGAAAGTCATCTCAGCTACTTCATCTCTTCCTGATTTTCATATTGTCCTTTTAATTCACGGTAGGGATCAAAAATCAACCTTTAAAAGCCGCAGGTTGATTTCCTGTGGGACTCCTTTCAGTCTTGCCCAGCCTTCACCACTCTTTTTGCCTAGATGTGTAATTTAGCACAGCATGTTCTCTTTCTCTCAGAGGTATGATTTGCGACTTAAGTTTGGTTCGCAGCCTTGTTGAGTCGTTTTCCCTTGTTCGCCCTGAGTAAGTCGACATCTGGTCCAAAGTTTTCCTCCTAGCAGCACAGATATTGAGTGTAATTTCTTCCCAAGTCCAGTCAGTGGAACGCCCAGCTCTGAAATTATTTTCAGCCCCTAAGAAAGAAAGCTTTCCTAGGCTTCTGAGTTAAATACCGAGTTACACCAGGTTGTGACGACACCATTTATCATTGATTTGACCATATACTTCTCTCTTACTTAACGGTAGCAGATGACTAAGATTTTTCCAGATTTTCAAGTCTCCACAGGGCTACCTGTTTAAGATCTAAAGATGAGCGCTGGTGAATTTTTCTCACAGTTTAACTCAAACACACTTAAATAAGCTTTTCAGAGTCATAGAACATTTAAAACTTTTAGTTACTCCGAACTATAAACATTTTCATTGTCAACATTTCCATTCATCCATAAATGTATAGAGTAAAAAATAAATTTCTCCATCACATAGTTTCACTCCCAAAGTTGTAAGTGGCAACACTTTAGTGCATATTTTTCTGACATAATCCTATGTGACACACATCTGTATGGTTTTGTTTTTTAAGATAAAAATGAATAATTCTAGTAAACTCAAAGATTAGCCACTTTTCCTACTGATTAGTCACAGACATTCTTCTATACCAGTATATTTCATTCTTTTAAGATCTACATTCATGTTCTGATGTTATGATGGACATTCTGTACATTAACCATTCCCCTATTAACAAATAGTGTGGTTTTCTTTTCTTAATATAATGGCAATGAATAGTTTTACGTACATATACGCTTAGCCACAGTGTATATATTCCTTGAGAAATTGTTAGATCAGAGGTTAGGCATGTTTAGTGTACACTGGGGCTGGGAAGATAACTCAGCAGTATAAGTGCCTGCCTGCTGGGGAGATAGCTCAGTATTCTTAAGTGCCTACCTAGCAAGCACAAGGACCCAGATTCAATTCCCAGTACTACATGTCGTGCTAGCCAATGAAACCAGATGTGGTGGCGCATGCCTGTAATCCCAGTCCTGGGGAGGCTGAGACAGGAGGATCACTACAAGTCCAAGCTGTAAGCAAGACCCTGTACCAAATAAATAAATCTTTAAAAAGTGAAAGCCCTAGGTTTAATCCCCAATTCTGCAGCAAAAGAAAAGGAAAATTAATAACCTCTATATCATTTTTATTTTATCAGAATTTCTTGCAAAGCTAGTGAATTACAAAACATACTAAGTGAAATAATTATACTCATATTTTTCTTTGGCAGACAACAAAAACCACACACAGTCATGGTTAGGCTTATGTCAACTTGATTGGTTTGGGAACCATGTAGAGAATTAATAAACCATACTACTAGATGTGTTGGGAGTTGTATAGGTATGACCTTAGGGTCTATATCCATCATCCCTTCCTTACTGGCATCATTGCCCTGCTCTGCTTTCTACCTGCCATGAACCAAGCCCCTTTGCTCCACTGTGCCCCTTCACTGTGATGTTTCTGCATTGGAGCCATCTGGCCATCGACCAAATCATTTGAAACCATGAAGCATATTAAACTGCTCCTCCTTTAAGTTGTGGTTGTTATATGTTGTATCCCAGTCAGGGAACACTAATGTAGAAATTCAGTACCAGAGAAATACGTTGCTGTCTTTATACTGGACACATACTGTAGAGACCTTTGGAACAGATTTGCGTGAGTTTAGAAGTCTGGAGAATTGGGAAAGCTAACCAATGCATATATACTACCATTTTAATTTGTTCAAAAATTGCCTTTTTTTTTGTTATTACAAATTGAACCAAGGACCTCACACATGTTAGGCAGGTACTCTACCACTGAGCTACATCCTTGGCCCTTTTTAATATTTGTTAATTTGAGAGAAGGTCTCACTAAATTGCCTAGGTTACTCAAGCTTTGATGCCTCCTGCCTCAGCCTCTTTAGTAGCCCAGATTACAACAGCATGCCACCATACACTACAGAAAACTGCCTCTTATAAGAGGTTTTCCTCTATCTCTAAAATATAATTATGTGTTTAATATTCAGGGACAGAAGGAGCTAAGGAGTGTAACAGTTCTACAAAATCTCTGCTAGAATGAATGACCAAGCACTCTTCAGGCAGTTACAGCACTAAGACCACTGTGTTACCTGACTTCCCGCAGCCCCAAACCCCTCCAGGAAAATCCATGAATTGATTGGTCCCAGGCTGAGTCTTACATAACACTGTTTTCCATGCATGTGAACAGAAAAAAAGGATTGCATAGTGTGCCATAAAATTAAGAATCAATAGTAAATTGCAATAGCTCAGAGATAGAGCACTTGCATAGCATGTACAAACGCCTAGGTGCAATTGCCAGCACTGGACTAGAAAGGGAGGGAGGGAGGAAGGGAGGGAGGAAGGGAGTATAAATTCCACATTTCTCATAGTTGAGCATATATGACTAATATGTTTTTGTTCTTTTGCTGTTTGTAGTTAGGAAACAATAGTACATCTATACCTCAGTAATGGATCAGACTTTTAGGAAGAGTTTGTTACTGGGGTGATTTCTTCCCACATTTTAACCTATACCTCCAGATTGCAATATTCTGGCACAGTCAGTGTTTTTCCTCCAAATGTGCACTCTCCAGTCATCACATCAATGTTTCAATGTGCGGTGTTTGTCCTATGGAAACCTAATATCATTTGTGGTGTCTCTAGAGGAAATGGTGGGGGGCAGATGGATTTCACTCGTCATTCTTAAATTTCCTATTTCAATAGGTAACATCAAGTCTACGTTAGAAAACTAGGAAGCATCTGTGATTCCTAGCTTACCCTCAAGTCATGAATTTCATCAGTGACCAAGTATTATTTTTCTGGACCTGAAATACTTTTTAAATATTTTCCTTTTCTTTATCTGTACAATGGCTATTCTGATTCTATTTTTAATCCTCATTATCATTGCTTAATGACCTGTGTCCTCAACACCTCAATCTGTGCTCTTAAAAATCAAAACCTTCTCCTATTTATTTTAGTCAGCCTGATCCTGGTCTTGGCATATCCTTATTGTTTAGTAAAGCAGAACAGTATTCTGGCCTGGACAGTTAAAAACCTTTCCTGTTGATCTGATCTTACCTACTTTAACCCATTCCTAAGACATACATTCATGTCTGTCATTGTAACTCTGCCGCATATATAATTCTCTATATGACAAGTAATTAACTTTTCCAGCCTCATCTGTCACCCTGCTTCCTTTCCAACATCTCCATTATCTTCTTACCATATCAGACTGTCCTTAATATGTTGGCAGATTTGTCTACTGCACTGGGCTATGAACTTCTTAAAGGCAAGAATTATTTTATTTTTACATATCTGGTGTTTACTGGTGCTTCATGCAGTAAACACTGTATCAGCTTAATGGTTAGAATCTGTTTGAAATCTATTCTAACTGGTGGAATTGAAATAGAATGAAAACCTGAGATATTTTATACTTGTGACAGAAAGGTATGGATACAACTGGAAATGCAGAATATCAGGAAGATGGTATTCTGTCAGAGCTAATAATAGCACTTTGACGTAGTTTTTTCAGTCTTTTGTAAATGAAGTTTTAATGTTTAGTTAATAAGTAAAGTTTTAAAAGAGTACTTTAGAGCTAGCCTTTATAACCTGAAACCTACAAATAAATGAACCAGGAGTCATAAAATCTGTCTTCCATCTTCTCCATAGTGTCTGCTCTTCAGGTTTCCACAAGCTTTTATCCTGTTTCCATAAACCTGCATTAGGAACAGCTGTCTCGGCCACGTTCCCATCCCCGGGCCAAAGCACCCAACACCTTAATTTCCTAAAGGAACAGTTTGTGTTGCTTATGGTTGCAGTCACTGCAGAAGTGTTGTGGTAGGAGGGGTGGTGAAGGAAAGCTGTTGAGCCATGTGGCTCCCAGATAGAAGAGAAAAGGGAGAAACCTGAACCAAGAATATACCCCTCCAGTCCATGCCACCAGGTGCCACCTCCTAATAGTACATTCAGCTACTGAACTCACGGTACTGACTCCACTGGTGAGTAGAGTGTGCTGTGATTCACGCACCATACACAGACCTGAGAATTTAGGGAATATTTTAGATATAAACTATAAATCCTGTCATTGATGTGACAGAAGCAGGACTAGATCCAATTTTGGAAAATCTGTACATGCCTTGCAGAATTA